ATATTAATAACAGCTGTCCTTCGATCGTTATATTGTTGTGTTTGTAGCATTAAAACTTACTTAACATGTTGAGTTGGAGAAAAGTATACATTTATAGTACTTACAGTTTATATTTAGACTTTACGATTTTCACTTTGGTTGTATTCGCAAAGCTATCAAGACGTTTCGGATGCTTTGCAGCAGCCGCAAAGTTAAAAATAATTTTCAAATATGTTTAACTAATATATCGCGTTTTAAACCGTTAAAGTGTTTTATTTAAAGGTGTCTCTAATATCAAAATAATCTGCTAGACTAGCGCCATTTGTTCCGCCATAGTTGGCATTTGGTGAAACTGGCTGGGCTTCTGCAGGACTGACTTACGACGATTTCAGGTTTTAAGCCGTTAATAGTGTTTTCCGTTTTAACTAGTTTATTTGGTATTTACCACTCGCGTAAAACAACAAACATTTGTAAAGTTAAAAAATTAGATGTTACACAAGTCATAGCGTCCTATTTTTTTTTAAATTTAGAATTGAATTTTTAAATAAAAATGTTTTTTTACTTTAAAAATCTATTGGAAGGAATCGTCCCTCGTTATGTCTTAGGTATCGCGGCGGTGAATGAAAGTGTATAAAAATATAATGAACGCAATAATGACCCATTGCAGTTGCAGAGTGCATGAACACTGCGCCCGCATCATCTAATTCTAATTGCTTTTACGTAGACCTAAGAATATTTAGACAATAATTAATTTTTGTGCAACTAACAATCTTATATCAATATAATATTAGCTTACAATACATTAGCTACACCTTAAAGTCCTGCTCGTGTCTTAAAACTTTTTCAATCTTAATTAGATTTTTAATTTATATAGCTCTATACGTAAACAAATCATCATTAACGGTTAGAAACGCGACATATATGCTAACGTTAATTTATTAATAATAATAACGATTCAATTAAGTTTATTTTCTGTGCAAATAATAGTCTTATATAATATGACATTTTAATATGCACGTAAACACATCACTATTAACGTTTTTAAACGCGAAATATATAACTACGTCAATGTATTCCTTATAATGACCCGAAGTTTGGGATATGTCGTAGTAATGTAGACGTTTAAATGAATTACATTTAGCGGTTATAAACGCGACTTTTATACGAAATATTTTCTTCACAACTAAGTTTGGGATGCTTTATAGCAGTCGTGGTTACTGGATTAGATATTTCACGTTTTAAAGCGTTAAATATTATATAGAGATATACCACGTCTGTGGTATAAATGTTAAAATTGGCGTATCTATTTTTTCTTAGTTCTACATTTCTGATCATTCATACAGTGTGTCTGTAAGTGCCTAATGATGTATTAATTAATAAAACCGATTGTGGTGAAACAAAGGAACATGTGGGCATTTGTTTTTTACTCTTACTTTAAAATCGATTACGCTTATAAAATTTGTCCACGAAAAAATGTATTCTCTTTATACCCAAACTCATTTCTGTCCAGAAATTTCCTTTTGAATCTAAAATATCTAAGAGGCGATTATACTAACTTGTACAGAGTTTAGCAATGATTTTATCTACTAACAATGTATAGCTAATCGAGGTTCAATTCTGGATCGAAAATTTTCCTAATTAATTTATAATGTTTCCGAAACACCTTGGACTCAGTCTAGAAATCTGGATATTATCGAACCATCTTCCACAGATAAAAAGTTGTCAAGTTAACCGCGATTTGGTTCCAGTCAACAGCGCATTTTCATTAGATGTTTTAGCCTAGGTATATTACCCACCACTAAGTGAATTATTTTTCAACGTATACAGATCAAAGGCGGCGGTTTTTAATATCAAAAACATAGTCAATATTAATTATTAATGAAGCTTAACGACTTTATTAAGTGTTCGTGTTTCTAAACGACTTTTATGACTTTAACAGCTACTAAATACCTCTAAACTGTAGACATAATGTATAAAGTGTGTTTTTTATGATCTAGCCGTGGACAGTGTGGGTAAATAGAGATATTTGTCGATTTTCCAAGAAATTGCGTCACTAATAAAACAAGATATTCATTTAGTAGTTTAATAAGAATAGTTTGGTGTTTTTAATTTTCTTAAGTAATTCATTTTGACGGTTTAAAACGCGATATATATTAGTTAAAGGAAGAGGCTGCATCCGAAACGTCGGGATTACCATTTAAATATGTACTACTCGCGTAAACTACAGACAGTATTTAACATTAAATTAAGTAAAGATGGACATTAACCCTACATAAAACGCAAACGACGGAAGCTACAACAATGGGAGACGTCTAAGAAAATTCCGAAAATAGAAGCGGAAAATCAAAGCATTTTTAACAGTTTCCGTTAATTAATTCTATTGAGAAAAAGGCGGCATCGGAACGGAAAACTCTTTCAATGAATAAAACGTTTATATTTCAAATTAGCTTTTTTAAATTTTTTCATTACTCGAGCTAATAAATCATAGGAAAATTAATAATTAATAACAAGACGCGACGGGGTGAGTCGGACGTGAAATTCGAAATTTGCATAAGAAGGGATGCTTTTTGGATTCTTTCTTTGTATTACGATAGATTTGTGTGGATACGTTACTCCCTACGGTGGCGTTCGATCCCCACCGCGTCCACTATTTTTCGTCTGGAAATCTGGATACTAAATGGGTGGTAGGAATATCGAAATTCCGTCCACAGATGAAAAAGCCGTAAAGATTAATCTCGTTCTAATTCTGTCTGTGGATTTCCGAATTTCAAACGCCATAATATGTCGGCGGTGCATCTTGTTTGGATGTTATATGGCTGCGGTATGTCATCTATATTTCGCCATCATTAAAGTAAACCCAAATTGCCCTACTGTACAGACCTTCTCTCGTATGCAGTTTGGCGGACTTGAGAAGAGACAAGATATTTAAGCAAGACGTTAAAAAGGTATTCTTAATATAATTTATAAATGTGCTTTCTTTATATATCTACAAAAAAAAACATTTATAGTACTATAAGTGTTGTGAAGGAGATAAGTAAAGAACTTACCTACTAAACTTCAGTCACCTGAAACACATTCGTTCTGGATTAATTTACATAACTTATATCCAGTTACTAGGCATGATATATACTAATCTAACTTAAGTACTGTCTGTAGTTAAAGCAATACTACACATTTTAATAAAACAAAACGGTTTAAAACGTGAAATGTGTCAGGTGACTCATTTACTTCTTTATCGTCAGTTATAAATAGGTATAATTTGTTAAGTTAACTTATACATCGGGTTTTAAACCGTTAAAAGTGCTTAATTCAGATAAACTAATATTATTCAGTAAAACCTTATTTATTTAGATAGCGTATCTACAATATTCTACCTCAACCCTTTCTTAAGCTGAAATCGAAGGGAGTCAAACAGATGTTCTGATGTCTAAGCGAAAGAGACCCCGATACTTTCAATATTTGCTTCTTTCTGTTTATTAAAATATGCGGGTGGATTTGTTTAAGGATGGAATAACAAAAGATATGACGGGGGTTTATTGTTATATTATTCAAAATATTTTTTTACAGCTCGAAGGTGTTTAGTTGTAGGTACTGACTAAGTTAGTAGATAAATATTTTCTATTATTTTGTGAGCAATGATAGTTATTGTATTAGCGTAAGAGGATTTGAATAAGAATGAATTGAATCTTGGAAAATTTTTGGTCCGACAGGAACCAGACGTCTGCCTGGTTTTGTCTGTAAGCACTTCTAACTTATTTTTCATTTATTATAACTATAGCCTGACGTTCCAAATACCTTGCAGTTGCCATGGCCACGGGGTGACCTGAATGTGTTTCCAGCATTTGACTTTTCGACTTATTATTCGTCGCATCAAAAGTCAGTTAGGTAACTAATACTATTGTACTATTTTTTATTTGACTTTAACGAAAATAAAAATAAATTGACTATTATATTTTACGGTTTAAACCGTTAAACGTGTTTTGTTATGTAAGTAAAACTAATTAGTGAAGTCTTAATCTAGTATGGCTATTTGGTAGCTTGCACGACTGCCGAGACAAAATTAATTTTATACTCATTTTAAAACATTGCATTTAATGTCATTACAAACCACAGATCAAAATATAATTATTAATAATACATAATAATAGATAAAGTTCTAGAATTCCGCAAAAAACGTTCCTGAAAATAAAGAATGCTACGTCTAGCGCCATCTAGTGTGGAGAGGAGGTAGGCTTATAAGGAAAACACTTCGTACGCGTTCAAGGCTGTGGTACAATGTTTAACTTAAGTTGAATATTTCGTTTACAAAACTACAACCAGTTAGTTATATGTTATATTATGTTATCTACCGGTTAATACGGTATAATTGTTTCATATATTTTATACCTATTTATTGGGCTACGTATAATTAAACGTTAATTTTAAAATAAAGTATAATAGACAAGTAAAATAGGTATATAGTTATTTAATCAAGGCAGTTTATTTGGGTTTGAAAAAAAATATTTTTTCTATCCTCTAGCATTTAAGAATGACGATTTGTAAATAGTTGCTAACAAAAGACTTTTTACGAATCGAAGTTCGAATCAAGAAAACCCACTAACCGAATTTCGGGTGGCGCGAAACAAAAACTGACCTACATTTCTGCCCTATCGAGTTCAGCCACCCCTACGTCCCTACGAAGTACGAACGCGGAGCGCCCTTCATCAGTACTTTGTATTTCAAATCACTTTCTTACTACTTATTTGTAGGTAAGTTAATAATTATCGATTATTTATCGATTGTTTTACTCCCTAAAAATAGGATAAGCAGTTTTTAAACCTTTCAATGTGTAATAATTTCGCTTTTTATTATTAATTAGGGAGGTAGTTAGAAAAAATAACACTACCGAATTATGATAGTCCACGCCTAGTAATATAAGACGACGAATAAACGAAAGATTTTCTAATTATTGTGGATGTAGTTATAAAAAATGACAATATCTATGTATATGGAGATGGTCCGCGCGAAACAATTTTATAAACATGAATAAACAGTTTTTAAAGCTTTCTATCTGTAATAATTTAGATTTTTTAATCGGGGAGGTAGTTACAAAAAATGGCAATATCGAACTACACAGTGATGACCCAAACAATCCAAGTAAACAAATACCAAGAACAAGACGCGTATCGCCGTTCGCGCTGCAAAAAAAGCGCATCCCATTATCGACTACAACAAAAGGACTTGCAGCAAGTACACATCTCGATTCAGCGTCTCGACTCGAACCGAACCGATGCTATTGGCGCGCCCCACTGTCGCCGCGCGCGAGCGAGACGCAACGACATCCACCATACGGAGGGACAGGGAGGGAGACGGTCATCTTAGTTGTTGAGTGGCGTCCCACTGGGCGGGGTTTCACCAAGGAGTTAGACTCAGATGCGCACAGTTTGGAGGGGCCCGTGCCGAAGGATTGCACTGCAGTCGACGGTCGCGGTCGGACCTCGCGCACGTGTTCACGTTCGAAGGATCACCTTACGTAACCGATCCGATCGGAAAATAATCGATTTGTGGACGCACTGTCATTAGTGTACTGTGGACTTGGGATTGTGTTTGACACTGTGTGTGATTTGTTGTGACTTTGTGTTTTTTTTTCATCAAGTAAGTGATAGTGTTTCTTATTTATCGTGCTTTGTTAGAGTTTACAAGTTCTTATTATAATCCCGTAAATCTTAACTTCAAACTCTCTTTCCATTTAGTGAAAATATCTTTTACCTATAAGAAAAATCTAAATTGTAAGTTAGGAATTATTTTTAAAGTATACATTAATACATCAATAATATCGAAACTTAACTTCCTCGTTCTTTCACTCAAGTGTAATCAAACAATGATTTATATCAAACTAACAAGTAGGTACCTACTATTTTGAAACATTTAACGAATTTAAAAGCATATTAATTTTTTAATTGGTAGGATACTACAAACTTAAGTTATCCATTAATCAAATTTATTGTACAAAAGTGTCTTTTAAACTTTAATACCATCATATCATCACGTAAAAAGTATTTGGTTCTCTATGATTCATAATATAATATAAGTTTCAATATTATCTCTCATAAGTATTTGTTGACGGATAGAAATTTGTTAAACCCGATTTAAATTCTCATACTATATTAACCACTTATAAGAATTCGGAGCAATTATAAAAGCGAAATAAATCCAATTAGACCGGTAACAAACCAAACAGGTATCACATATTGATATAGTTAATTAGTGTTCGATTGAGTGAACGATAGTGATTAGTTATAGATTGTTAACGTGTCAATCGGTCGTTTATAAACACGCTACCTGTTACCGGCGTGATAGAAAAAGTCGTGTTCGATTTTCGAATTTCGATCGAGTTTGTCACTTCACTTACTTAGACTCGTAAGGCTAAATACGGTAAGTGACAATGAATAGAACCACATTTTTTGTTAAAATAGAGTTATTTGTTTACGATAAATGAAGATTTATTTTATATCGGGTTTTTTCTCTTATTATAACTAACATGTGTTAGATGCACTGATGGATAGACTATTTAGTTCATTATAGACATTACACACTTTTTAGGTTTGCCTAAAATATTGCTGTAGTACAAATTAAAAATATAGGCACAGTTAAAAACATAGACAAGATAGGTGTATCGAAACTGTAGCTAAAAAAAGAAGCAACAATTTCTAGACTAATAAAAAATTTGACGAATATGAGAAGCGGAAACTTAGATGTTTTTGTCAAGAGCTTGATGTACCTAGTAGGCTTAACGAAATGTACCAAATAACATTATGGCTTCTCTGTGTTATTATATTGATTAAGTATCTTGTAAAGTGAGTCCCAGTCGGTTTTAGATGAAACGGGTACTTTCTTACGACTTTTTAATTAATTTATTATTTTTTTTAAAATGTACTTGTTACCAGACTTTACAGCTTTCATAGTAAAATAAGACATAATTATTTACGTACAAATTGTTTTGATCGAACATTTCGGAAACATCTTAGTAAAGTACATAAAATGCTTACTTTTAAAATACTAACGCTTTGGACTGAGTTACTGCTGTATTTAGCTACAGTACTAAATACACAAATGTTACCTGCTTAATTCAAATTTAATTTTGTTTTCGGTATAACTATTAACATATTTATGAAAATAAATATTTCTTATTATTTACTTAACAGTGCAGAAATCTATCGGAAATGTATCGTGAACTATAAAACAACTGTAGCAAGTATTATGCGTGATGCCTAATTAAAATCTTAGCTATTTATATACCTACTGAATTTAATTCCTAAAACAGATGGTCCTGGTCATTGACCTTATCTTAGCCTTCTCATTAGCTCATGTTAGCCAGGATTTCTTGACAATTACCGCTTTTGTTGTGAATCCATTACGTCTATAAAAAGAAATATTTATTATAAGAACGAATACTGTCAAGTAGAAAAAACACTGTTGTAAACATACTACCTTTACTGTTTTAGTATTTTAAAATATTTTTAATTATCTTTTAACTCGGTAAATATATAGTTATGTAAGTGTTTATCAATGCAAATAAAATAAAAAAAAAACAATTTGGAAGTCTGTTTTGGCTGTTTAAATGGCTTTGTTGGTTCTAATAAAAAAAATATTATAGGTAGTAGAATAGGTTACAAAAACGATGAAATTAGATTTAAATTTTTCGGATTATAATCCGAAAAATACTTTCGTAGGTAAATTTATATTGGTAATAAAGATGCTACAGATTAAAATACGGGACAGATGTATTACTGCATTTAATACAATAGTAACTGTGGAAAAGTCTAGTCTAGGTCCTTTATACAATTAAATGAATACATTAGTGATTATCAATATATGACAACGGAAGTTCGTTAAATCGCTTAGCACATGTGTTTGTATCGTTTATTACAATCATAGTTATTTTTAACTTACCGTGAGATCTGATGGAAACATATTAATTGGTCGGCAAGTTTTGTTTCTCATTCATAGTTAAGTTACCCGCGGCTTTACTTAATAATTTTAAAGATAAGTAAGAAGTTTTAGAACGCACGGAAATAAAAGAAACTACAAGTAGTTATTGTAATTTTAATCCTGTGGGGCTTGGGGCAAACACATTCGTGCCGTAAGTTAATAAATGTAATATTCGACCGAAATTGTTCTGTCCCAGGATTTGAATCTTGTTCATCACCTCTTGTGCTAAATGCTATGTTAGCCACGGGGCAGCAAATGAGTAATTCTTTATATATTCATATGTCAAAAATTACTTATTTTTACTTCGACACTCGTTTCTTCAATCTTACAATATATTTTGTCCGACCAAGCGTGTTGGTTAGTTAGGTAGTAAGATAGGGATACACAAAGACACTGAGAGCACATTTAAGTAAGAAAAAGTTGTTTCTACCTTCGGATTATAATGGCTGTTAGAAAGGTCATTGGCCTGACGGCGGCAAAAATTATTTGACACTTCAAAATTAAACAAATGAGAGGTATTAATATTGACACTATTTTTTGACAAGTGACAAGAATTATATAACGTATAACCAAACATAATATAATCATAACTACACACGATGAATTGCTGAAAATAAATAGTTTTAAAGAATGGCTTACGCAACTATGTTTTGGATGTAATTTTAAATTAAAATAAACCTAGTAGTACCTAGTGATGTTAGATTCACTTCCGCCTGCTTTTATTAACTGTAAAAAAATAATAATTTGATTTAATTAATTTGGGAGTCTTCTACTTTTATTTGTGTATTTTTTTATTTTGTATATATACTTAGGGAACAATATAACTATTGCATGCATACATAGTGATCTTTCATGCATAAGTCTCTAAAAATTTCCCATATTTTAAATTTAAAGTTAACGCTTTGTTTAAAAAAGGATCGTTCTAATTACCTAATCATAAGTTTGTGTTTTTAGTATTACTTATCAATAAGAAAGCAGTTATAGTAAAAATATAATGCAAGATTTGTTAAAATATTTCTGTATCTGTTAATATGCAAAGTAAAAATTCGATGGAATTTAATATTTACAATGTACGAAAGTCGTAAAATTGTAATACCGTGGCAAGAGATTAATGTCAAATTAGAATTTATCAATAATAAATAATAATAATAAATTAATATCGACACCAAAATGTTAATCTACAATTTAGCAATAAATGTATTTTAAGATCTATCTAATATCTTTTAAATGAAATAATAATTACAACGATAAATAAAAATCCTTATTTCAGCTTCAGTTCTTCTAACTAGTGTTGTTGGAAATATAAGTATTTATATTTAGTGTTAATTGAGTAAAAGAAATTATTATTTTTTTATGGTAGAGGTAGGTAATATAGCCCATAGCATCTAAACAAGACGCACTGTCGTAATTGTAAATTAAAATTACAACAGCGCGTCTTCATGTAAAAAATAATAAAGATTTCAAATATTCTATAAGTATTTATTTTTATGTTATATTATATTCTACATTACTATTGTCTTTAGATAACAATAAGTAGATCTTTCGCCTTTCGCATGTCAATTGACAATAATACGTAGACGATTTTTATTAGTATATGTAAGTATTAGCATTTTTTTTCTATTGCAACATTGCAATGTGTAAATATATACTTACCTAATATAATATTCCTAATCCTTCCTCATTATTGTTTATTATAAGTTTTAGTAAGTAGGTTAAGTTCTGTTTCTGCTGTCACGCATTCCTTTTTATTACTGAATTTTCATTTCTACCATGGTTGCTTGGAAGAGATAGCTATTTAGCTATAAACTCGCCGTTTGTCCTTAATTTCCATATATATTTTTTTGTTGTTATGTTTTGTGACAATAAAGAATATTTGTATTTGTAATCCATGTAATTTTTTGAGTAGGTGAAGTTTAAAAGATTTATACATTTTTGTCTATTTTTTGCCCATGCAAGAAGTATCGATTGAATTACTTTTTTATATAGCTTAGGGTATCCATAACATCTTTTCATTCTCACCAAGAAGCAGCAGGGCTGGTTAATAATAAAATGTATTTATTTATTTATTTATTAACTTTATTAGTTACAAACACCACAGAAATGGTTTACAACAATAAATTCTTATGTAGTACATAACTAAAAGGCGGCCTTATCGCTAAACAGCGATCTCTTCCAGGCAACCTGAAGTGAAGGGAAAAACAAAAAATAAAATAAAAGGACTATAGGTAGGTGGTGCTAGAAAGGATCAAGAAAAAGAAAGGCAATTAACAGCTGGAAAGATAAAATTTGGTAACTGAGACTTTAAAAGTACGGAGAGATTGAGCTTTTCTGATTTCTAAGGGAAGAGAGTTCCAGAGATTAATGGCTTTAATAGTGAAGGAGTTGTTAAAGAAGGAGGTCTTATGCGCAGGAATAAATAATAAAAGATTATGAATAGCGAAGATTCAAATTAGTGAGCTTAAAGGAAGAAAGTTTTCTTTTAAATAGGCCGGGGATTTAGGGTCGAAAAGGATACGATAAAGGAGAACAAGGACATGAAGGTTCC